TTTTTTTCTAAATAGGGTGAACCAAAGTACCCGCAAAAACAATCTTGCTAATATATGAAACTTTAACAAGGTTTACTAAACGGGATGCACAGGCCAATACTCAAATAAAATCATTTTACATCTCTCTTCCAACAATCCACATTAGTCCATCAATCCCATTTCAATTTCTTATACAATTTCCATTATTTACACAAAGTATTCATTCAAGGCATTTAAGGGCAAAATTCCATTTTCCCAATTCATCTACATTCACCAAACTTAGCCATTTTTAACTAACCAGAGTCATATCCATCCATACACCATTTCTAAGCCATCATATAAAACCCCTCTTCTAGAATTGAACCACAAACGCCTAATTATGTTAGAAAACACCTTATCACAACCGATGTTCTACATATCAAGAATAATCAAGCTAAAACTCAGAGTATAGAGAGTCCTACCTTCAAAGTTTGATGGCCAAACAACAACGGAGTAACTTCAACGATGCCGAAATCAACTTACTCAGATCAAAACGAAGCCTTGAAGAGCTCTACCTTTTACAAAGGCACACAGTGAGAGAAACAACGGATCTAGGTGAAAATGCAGAGAGATGGGTAAGTTTTTAAGAGAGAAGTTCTAGATTAAACGGTTTTTAAAAGCAGATAGAGACAGAAAATGAAAATGTCAGTAACATGACCTTCATTGCGGAAGTGTATGACGCGGTAGTCCGCCTCGAGCGAAGGTTGATCGCTGAGCTCAGACACAATAATTTGTTCGCTCGCACGCGCAAAAATGGCCACTCAACGTAGAAGATACACATCCAGTAGTTTTACAGATAGAAGAATATGCTCTGAGCGCAAGAAGTGGCGCTCGTGCGCATATCCGCTCAAGCGTAGAAACGCCGCTCTAGCGTAGAACACACTCTTCAGCAATTTTTGCAGGTCTCAAAAATACTAAGAGTTTGCAAGCCCATCTCTCGAGCTCCAAAGATGTATCGCCCTCAAAATTAATACATAAAACCCACCATTCTTGACAGCATAGACAATTAGAGAATAAAGGCATATTTCTATTTATCTAGAGTATTCATTACAAAAAGTATTACATGTGTTGACACAAAAACTAAATGCCCTATGGGCTTACAATTTTTTCATCCAACACTTGGTTACATAAAAGAGTACGTAACTCATACACATAAGCCCTTGGCGTTGAATTTATATGTAATCCAATATAACAAAAGAACAACAAAGCAGTCTTCAACCTTCAGAATCTCCTAAGCTAAGTCCTTGAGGTTGTGCATGTCACCTGCATACCTAAAATGATGTCCCATATAGGGTGAGCAAAGCCAGGTTTCATCGTTGGCCATGTGAGGTGCAAAACCTCGCCAATTCAGTACAAACGCGGTCGTATTCTGCCACTGTTCGGTTTGGCTTGCGTCAAAGTCTGGGAATTCGTAGCCTTGCGGTTTCCGAACACTTAGGGGAAAGTTTTGTTGTTAGAAAACTCTAAGAATCGAGCGTCAGGTCAGATTCTGGATTGCTTTCTCAAACCATCATCCACCATCTGCGAGCGTCATACTAAGAGTGAATGCTGGCAACAGTCACCTTCTGGGCGTCGGTATAGGAAAGATCTTGAATAATTTTTCCATTTCCAAAACCCATGCCTCACCTTCATCGGCTCTAATACCCCCAGAGATCTTGGTGGTTTCATTTCTGAGTTCCCTGATCAAAGGCTATCGTGCCATCCCAATATAAGCCTAGGCTGCGGGAACTTGCGCACTAGAGGAGGTGGAGCGGAACTACATTTCGCCGTTGGTCGCTCGGCCTGAGTCGACGTAGCACTAGCTACTGCTGTTCTTGTTTGCCTCAACTCGCGGCCAAACCTTCAACTATCTTCCAGTCTGTCCAATTCTATCTCTTGGGCTGATTCTGGCCATTGGAGGTCTACCTCTCTCAATGAAGCTATGAGCATGCAAAGTGTGACTTAAAAACAAATAAGCAAATAACCACGTAGGCAAGTACAAATAGGTATGTCAAGGACAAGCACACCTCGTTCGAATAGCAATACCATGATGACATCTCCTAACATCTTTCTAAGGAAATCATGCTCTTTAGCTCAAAGTGTGTGAATAGATCGTATACTGAGGAGCGCTTGTGCTCTGATACATTTGTCACGACCCAAACCGCCCTAGTAGTTTGGTCCGTGATGCCCAGCAATCCGAGAATTACCGAAGGCCCAACCTTCTTAAGTTCTTACACAATCAGAGTATAGTATGCGGG